AACGAAGTCGACGAGAGAAACTTGGATAGGGAGACAAATCATTTGTGTTGCCAACGAGAGAGAGTACTATCTCTCTTTCTCGCTCTTCGAGATCGTCGTCATCGTTGAATAATTCTCACTCGGGAAAATTGCTATAACAGCAGTTCGGGCCGAAATCTTGGCACCAAACCCGTATCATCCTCTTGCCCTGAGTGCCAAGAATGCGTGACCTCTGGCTAACAAGTATGACCCTACATACATGTTGCCTTTTCCCCGTTTTATTCATACATACTTAGAATATGAATTAGCAATAAAAAGTCTCGTATATAAAGTAATTCTTCGTATATAAAGTATCGATCATTTAGAGATAATATGTCGAAGAAACAAATTGATCGATTACTTTCATTCTACTTCGACTTCACGTAGACCGTTCGTAATACACTTTCTAATTCGAAAAATCGAAGAAAAGAGAGAATCGATTTTCCAGATGCTTTTAAACGTAGGTACCTCCTCTCTAACGCATTTCTAACTACCACACGTTCTCTCTGGGATGCATCTGTCGGTTAAATCGTAGCATCCGAGCCGCTACACGTCAAACAGTAACATTCGTCACGTGTGTTAAACGACTAATGCGCTTTCTAAAATCTCATTCGTCTAACACAAGGAAGATTTTTCTAACGATATCTAGTACAATACAAAAATGATTCAATTTTCTCGAGAATTGAACTGAAAAAGATTGAAATGAAACTAGGAGTAGGAAGTATTCGAAAAACAACGATGATTCCCGCTTTCCTTATGAAAACGTTTTATATAACGATAACTAACAATCGCTCTCCTTCCTTTTTGTTATCCAGTATATCTAATTCTGATTACATTCATGATACATATACCACGCTACACTAAGCATTTATTAAGCTTAGAATAATAAGAACTCATCGAGCTCGTGCACGCTTCGCATATTATTGCTTATTTTTTCATCAGTTGGAATGCAACATTTGACGTGTGTAAACGATCAACAGATATTAGTGGAATAATTATCACTTACTTAAGATTCGCTATTGTACTGTTTAAGGAAAAAATACGTCGATAAATAAATTAAATTGTAAAAAAAATGAAAGAGAAGTTTCCGGCGAGATAGGAAAAATATAAATATCCGATTACATCTAGGAGAAGTGCAAGTCAGAGCGCGATTTAAATTTTACGAAGTGTAGAGAGGGAAGGAGTTCTAAGCTCGTCCGTCGTAATTCTGCGTGCTCGTTTTTGACGCGCAACCATATCTTATCTAAACCGATACTAATCTGCAAAAGATAACATTCCTTTGGTGCGAGGAACTGTATTCGTGAGTTTCTACGGATTTACTTGTCTCGTGGAACAATTGGTTCGATAAGAGAAAAAAAAAAAATTAATGTTTTAACAAGCCTTTCTTTGATAATGATCATCGAAGCATTTTGTCATCGAATGGAAGATTTCGGTTTATACGAAATTTGCTCTGCAATCGGTCAAAGAATAAATAAAATAAAATCTAAAGTAGATTTAACGTAGCCTTGTACCTTGTAGACCTCGGAAAAGAAACCAGCGCCAATTTTCTCCATGTAAAAGTCATCGAGACGATTCAAGGAAGCAACGGCGTGCCTTAGGGCTTGACAGGATGCACCGGTTCTCCTCTTGGTGGAGGTACCATCTTGGAAGGAGTCACCGGAGCAAGAGTTCAGTCCGCACAAATTTCCCTCCATCTCGGTTGGTCTCCAAGTGTCACGAGTTTTTTCACGATCCTTGTAACTTCTCGGCGAGGATTGCAATTCAGTCGGTAAATCCTGAATGACAAAGTCGATGCAATTTTGTTGCAAAAGTTCGGCTGGTGTTCGGGCAAGATTGCTGCGATGATGATGATGGTGATGATGATGTTGATGATGATGATAATGATCCTTGGGCTCGCCTCTTTCCGTCGTTCTTTCAAAGCAACAAGAATTGTCACCCGTCGAGTTCGACCTAGACGCGGATTTTTGTGTGACTCGTGTTTGATGAACGGTCGAAGTAGCGCTCGTCAGGATCGTCGAAGGATCGACAAACTCCTCGACGACGCCCGGAACTTCGTCGACGCTTTCAGAGGTAGCATCGTTGTTTTTCGATTGAACAAAGTCTCTGAAGTTAGACTTGCACGAAGACAACTCTCTGCCAGTTGCAAATTCTCGACTACCGACAGAGTGTTTTCTCGTCAGTTTTGACTCGAGATTCGAAGAGCTGATGGCAATCCTTTGGGATCTCGGCGAGAGACAACCAATAGAAGTTTTCGTAGTTGTACTCGACAGACCAGGGCAATTGGGATTGGAAGAACATCTGTGGATCCTTGTAGAGTCCTTGATGGAAGAAGAGGATTTATTGCTGGATTGCAGGTTCCTGTTTGTCGAGAACGTAGCTTGTTGCTCGTTTCTCGTAGCTCCGTTTATCTCCGTAACGGAGGACGAAGTGGATAGGGGTAAGGAACGATCTTGCGAGGGATTACACGGCAATGACTCGGATAACACCGGACACCAAGACTTTGCCTTCTCATCGGAAGTACTAGATTGAACAGTTGGTACTTCGTAACACGAAAGGCACGTCGTCCCAGTCGTTGGCCTGACGTAAGGGACTTTATTACTCGTAGGATTTTGATGGGGTGGTCCAGGGCCTGCGTTCGAATTGATACTGGATGGCACCTTCCCGAACATCCTCGCTATTATTCCTCCAATTTCCACTCTGTGTAGCACGAAAAATAACTGCGCGATAAAGTTCGACGATGATGGTACCGCATTGCCATATAAACGATACTCCTCGATGTCAATGTTAATGACGAATTAGAAGAGATTAATTCTTCTTAAATTCGAATCAGCAACGACGCTTCTTCGGGAAGACTTCCAAGTTATGCGAGCTCTCTAAACTAATCTAACAGCTTGGCATCTCTCTCTCTCTCTCTCTCTCTCTCAACTTTGAAAGTCTCCTCTTTTGGCAGTAGAATCACGATTTTAAATCACAATCGATCGTTTAAGAACGATCATTCGAAACGATCGGAAAGGAAGACTCTGTTGTCTCATCGATTGGCACACGTTCTCTTCTCTTGAATGAACTTTCAAAATTCTCTTGTTCCTTTCGTACCTACGACATGAATACGTCTATGAGTTAAATAATATCCGGAATAACTTACTGAATAACTACTGTAAAGTCGATTAAAATTTATATTCGAAAAAGAAAAAGAAAAAGAAAAAGAAAAAAATGATCGCCACAATTATTTCATTGAAATACGTTTCTACGGTGTATTTGTATCGCGTAAAAAGCATCGAATTGATCGACGCGCGAATAGCTACGATCGTTACCGGTAAACCGATTATCTGGTTAGTTACGTAAACGAACTCGCTTGGACGCATTCTAATCTTAATTGAATACGGTAAGGAACATCTATTTCTTATTCGGCTATATACGTATAGACGCGCGGATAATAATTTATCATCATTATTAATAATTTAAAAAGGAAAAATACATTCGAATTCTTTCGTGTTCGCACGTTGAATAATTTAGTACATTAATTTATTCGTTATAACGATCGAACACAATTAAAATCGGTGCATCGGTAGTTCTTTTTTTATTAGCCAGCTAAACACACATAGTTACTAATAAGCCGATAAAAATGTAATGTGTCGCGATTCTTGTCGAAACCAAATATACAAAATTTGTTCCACGTGCTGGTAATTACGAAGATGGGCTCAAATCAAATTTTCCTTTTTTTTTTCTCTTTCTTATTTTTAACTTAATATAGGTCTATTAGGATTTACAATTTGCCCGTATATAATTATTTCAAGCAGTTTATCTCGAGCGAACACCTTACGACGTAAGTCGCTTCGAGTTATTTAAACAATTTGTTGTTATTCGATAACATTTGAAAATATTATTCGAAATGCACCAACGATCAACGTTGCACATGATTATTGGAAAAAATAAGATGATGATGATGATGATGCTTTTTTGTAACGAGCCAAAGATTATTTGTTCGTCTTTTATATAAGCATCGTTAATAAGCAGAATACTAAGAAATATTGAAAATGAAAACTTGGACAATATCTACACACCTGTTCCTGTTATTTTTTCTCTTCACGTTCCAAGGCACGCTCGTTCGACGTTTCTTTTCTCGACGTCAACATCACCGTCAACGTCGTCGTCGTCGTCGTCGTCGTCGTCGTCGTCGTCGTCGTCGTCGTCGTCGTCGTCGTCGTCGTCGTCGTCGTCGTTGTCGTCGTCGTTCACTAGATCGCAACGGAATTAAGAAGAAAAGCGAATCGTTTTTCTTGCAAGGAGAAATCTTCGTCGTCTTCTCGAGGAGCCTTGGCAGGCAGACGACTGCACGTACTTGGATGATTTTAGAAGACCTTGAACCACGGTGGAGAATTCGTAGCGGGGCAGAGTGAGTACCGAACGTCGTCGATGGGTTTCCTTCGTCTCAACGATGTCCACCAACACGTCGTTTTTCTTTCTATCCTTTTCTCTCTTTTTCCTCATCCAAGTCGGGCTGTCACTTTTCTGTTTACGACGCTAAGTTAACTCAAGACGACACCGCGACACCCTCCTTCTGTCTATTTTATTTTTCTGTCTAGCACAGTCTCTGCCCTCTCTCTCTCTCTCTCTTCTTCGTCTCGAGGAGATAAGTCAGGATTAAGGCGACGAACAAGCGCCGCCTCAATTTCACCTATCTGCTATCTTCTTTCTTCTCCTGAATAAAATCACGAAGGACGCTCGCCCACGCGATAAATGTCCATGCGTCTTCTTCGTCGTCGTCGTTGTTGTTGTTGTTGTTATTGTTGTTGTTTTTGTTATTGTTGTCGTCGTCGTCGTCGTCGTCGTCGTCGTCGTCGTTGTCGTCGTCGTCGTTGTCGTCGTCGTCGTCGCCGTCGCCGTCGTTGTCGTCTTCCTCGTGTAATCGTACAAACGAGAAAAACACACTCACTACCACCAGTAGTGGCAAACGCATAGGCACACTTGCGCTCGCGCGCACTAACTCACTCTCTCACGCATCCAAACATACACATCCAAAGCACTAGGTCCATCTCGGAAAAGAAGGAGAATCCCGGAGTGTGCTTCGTGTATACTAACTGCTACTACTGCAACGGTGATAGAGTATCCTCGTAGTGGTGCGTTCTTTCGTTGCACGGGAGAATAACGAATGTTTTTAAAGACGACCAAACACTTTCACACCACGCGACGTTGATCGGCGCGCACTGAATTTTCACGACGACACGTCCGGAGTTTCTTTTCACGCTCTCCCTCTCTCTTTCTCACTCTATTTTTCTCCCTCTCCTTCCCGTTTTCTCGCGCTCTCTCCGTCGCGCGCGCGAAGAGAACGCACTCAACGAACAACGCTAGACAGCGGCCATTACGGATATGAATGAGGGTGCGGGATTGGGCGCCTCCTTCTGGTCATACCAGAACTTACTGTGAGTCCTCTCCCTTCCGTCAATGGCGCTTCGTATCAACGTTGATAGAACGAACATTGCTATATTACATATTCTTATTTATGCAACGAATTTTTTTCTTTCAATGCTAGGAATTAAAAAAAGATAAAAAAAAAATGTTTAAAATGCTCTACCATATCGAGTATTTTTTATATATTAGACATCATCAATGTTTTCCCAAATAAATAAATTTATTTTCTTAAATAAATTGATTCCATGATTTCCCTATGATCATTCTTTCATAAAAGATTAAACAAAGGATTCAGATTATCAGTATTATGGAGAAATTTGATCACAAAAACGAAAGTGCGATGCTTCGCACGGGAAAACAATTTGTGAGAATTTTCTGTTCTCTTCTCTCCCAACAACGTTTCCGTATATGTGTTTGTATACATACATAAACGAGTATGTGCGTTTAGCGAAGTATTTTTTAACGCTTTTTATAAATTCCAATGAAAGTGTGAGAATTCTCATATGCGTATAACAATGCCTTTCACCGTTTCAATTGTTCATTCTGCTCTAGGACAGATCAAGACGATGAAAGTATAGTTAATGAATTTTTCATGTAATACGAAACTAGAACGATTAGTAGAAAAAAATGCATGACTACAAATAAATAATATTTTCAAGTGCACCTTCTTCTTCTTCATTCAAGTGCGATAGTCCACGATGATTCCCGTTAATTATTTGTTTAAAAACTATTATTTCCTTTAAATGATTTAAACTTTACACGGAAAATTTACATTCGATTATCGATTTGTATATTTTTTTCTTTTTTATATTTATTTTGTAAAAAGAATGAATCAAAAAATAGTTACGAAAAAATTAATGTTTTCAATGATTAAAAATATCTAATATCATAATGCGGAAAGTGTTAGCGTCAAGGAACTTTTTGCGCGGTTATGTTGCTCAACATGTTAATTTCTAACCTAATTTGTTTCGACGTCCATGCACTCACGTAATTATTTTTACAGCAATCTGCATGCTAACAAACAAGGGACAAAATTGGAAATAATATAAACATTATATTATAGAGACGTTTTTAAATAAATAAAAGATAAGGATGGCAAAGTTTTGTCTGAGTAAGTTCTTTTGCAATTGTAAAGAAATCAATTAATAAATCGTAGGTTAGGAAGTTTTTCCAATTACTATAATTTGCACATTTTATTATCTTATTTAACATAAATTTTTTTAAACAGAGAAACCAAGTAAACGTATACCGGCAAGAAAGAGATATAAAATAGAAAAGAAGGTCAGAGAACATAATCGAAAAATGAGGAAAGAAGCTAAAAAAAAATTGAAAGGTATTTTGCAAATTTGAGTTTGTGAAATTATATTATATATCATGATATCTATTTATAAAATACTTCTCTTTAAAATAGGAAAACCTAAGGTAATTGAAGTTCCAAATCAGTGTCCATTTAAAGAAGATATACTCAAAGAAGTGGAAGCAATGAAAAAGCAAAATGAGGAAGAGAAGAAAAAACAGCGCGAAGCTGCACGACAAAAGAAACGTGATGAACTTGCAAGGAATGGCCTACAAGGATTGGTACAAGAGGCACAAAAGAAAGACAATGAACATGACATAGCTATGGATACGGATGACAAAAGTCAAGAAATTAAAAACGCTGTTGCCAGAGAAGAAAATTCATTGAAGGCATATTACAAAGAATTTAAGAAAGTTTTAGATGCTGCTGACGTTATTTTAGAAGTTGTTGACGCACGAGATCCATTAGGTACTAGATGCAAACAGGTAAATAAGCAAATACATACATAATTATCATTAATACAGAATAACATAGCCAGCTGAATTAATTATCTTAATTTAGGTAGAAGAAGCTGTACAATCGGCAAAGGGTAATAAGAGATTAGTTATAGTGTTGAATAAAGCGGATCTTGTACCACGAGAAAATTTAGATCAATGGTTGAAGTATTTGCGTGGGAGTTTACCAGCGATTGCATTTAAAGCTTCTACTCAAGATCAAGCCAAAAGATTAGGCAGAAGAAAATTGGGAAAGAAAACAGAGCACATGATTCAAGGTGGAACATGTTTTGGTGCTGAATTATTATTATCCTTACTAGGAAATTATTGTAGAAATAGTGGTAATGTAAAGACAAGTATTCGGGTAGGAGTTGTTGGACTTCCGAATGTAGGAAAATCGAGTGTTATTAATTCTCTAAAACGAAGTAGAGCATGTAATGTTGGAAGTACACCAGGTATATTTTCACAATGTTGAATATACAATCTAGCAATTCTTTTTACTTCTTTTATAATGATTACTATTTTTGTTTGCTTCTGTAGGAGTCACAAAAGCAATGCAAGCAGTACAATTGGACTCAAAAGTAAAATTATTAGATTCTCCTGGTATAGTTTTTGCTGGTCGTCAATCGTCAAATGAAGATGATTCGTCCGTAGCTCTTAAAAATGCAGTAAAGGTTCAAGCTCTTAAGGATCCCTATACACCAGCTACTGCAATTTTGCGAAGAATTTCTAAACAGCAGATCATGGAATTATACGATATCCCTGAATTTTCTACACCCGAGGAATTTTTTGCTTTGAAAGCAAAAAGAATGGGAAAATTTAAGAAAGGTGGCGTTCCAAATCAATTAGCCGCTGCACGTTGTGTTTTAGAAGATTGGAATTCAGGAAAAATTAGGTATGTCCTTTACCACCACCTAGGTATATCTATCTCTTAAATTTCCTATTATATTCTCGAAATTGTACTTTAGGTATTATACAGTGCCACCTGAACAGCCAATATGCCACTTATCCGCAGAGATTGTCAGTAAAATGGCTAAAGAATTTGATATTGAAAGTTTTGCTGCTGAAGAAAGAATGATGTTAGATAATGTAGAAGCAGCAAATAAAGGGAGTATAAAGGAACCTGTATTATTTGACAGTACAGGGCCTGTTACATCAGTTATGGAAGTGGAAATTCAGAAAGATGCAGTAAGTAGACGTTTGTGTCATCCAATGTTCCAATATATGAAAGTATATTCCATCTGTCATTTAGGAATTCAAGTTACAAAAAAGATTAAAGAAGAAGCTCGAGACTAAGCCCAAATTAACTTCTAACGAGCAAAAGAAAAAAACGGATCCGCTATTTGAATTGGAGGGTAATCAAAAATTAAATAAACTACAGAAGCTTCAATACAAAAAAGATAAAAAAGATAAAGCTCGAAGAGGTACCAGACGTTTATCTTTATAAAAGAACAATGTGAACTTATAAAATCTTTGTAAATTTATTTAATAAATATCAATTATAAAATTTTAGAGAAAGCAACTGCAACACTAGCGGATAAATTGGGAGAATTTAATCTGACGACATCTGAAAATTATGATTTCAATACTGATTTTACAGCAACGTAAATTAACGCCTGTTTAATTTAATTCTCTGTGATCTATAAAAGCCTTTGATGTATTGTATATCCTGTATAAAAAAAAAATCAATCTAAGATAACAAATGAAAAATAAAAATAATTGTTCACAACATGAGATATATAAATAAAACTTTTTAATTGTTTATCTTTCAATATGTGGCAGTTAGTAAACATGTTCCTTTGATAACCATTTATAAAATATTTATAATCATTAGCGTAGGAGCGGTATGATATTGATTGGACTATTTTAAAAATCGCGAGAGAACTTTTAAAAAAAAAAAAAAACTCTGAGAATAGAGTAGCAGTGTCATTACGTAAAATTCATTCCAACGATATTTTTTATATATTATCCTCAAACTGATCATTAAAATGTAGTCTCATGCTCTCAACGAGACTCGAATAGACATATATTTAGTTGAAAAATAATAGACAATTTTCCACTTAGAATAAGTGCTAATAATTTAAGAGAACGAACCTTTTATTATCGTTCGTTCTTATAACTTACGTAAACAATAAACGAGTTTAAAATGCCCCATTCTTTCGCCAATGTTCTTATTACTACCGTATTCGTGATGATGAGAGAACTAACGAACGAAGAAAAATTTTTCCGAATGAAATCTGTCAGGACGAACTTTCTAACGAAATCTTAAGCGATTTAATATATATTTAATTCTTCTTTTTACAAGTAAGTATAATTCATAAATAAAATTTATAAACTCTTTTTTTTTTTTTTTTTTTTTGAATAAATATTTATATAAACTTTTTTTTAAATAAATATTTTAGAGCTGAAAACTAAAGATAAATTATTATGATTTCATTATTCATAAATCGATAAATTTTCTATCTATAAATCGAAAAAAATAATCGTAACACAATGTCAATAGTTCATCGAATGAATTTAAGATATAACGTCTAGGAAAATTAATCATTTATAAGTATAAGATAAAATACATTGAGTGTACAATTTTCTTCAATTTATTGCTTGCACGAGGGATCCGTCCTTTATAAAGACAGTTGTGTAATCAAGTAGAACATATTTGCCGTCAGTTACGCGAACATGATACATTGATTCTAATTTCTTACTTCTACGCATAATTTTTCGAAGAAACAGAAGTATGAGTCGTGTTACCCATGAAAGTGAGAAAAATATTAATATGAAGGAGATAAAATTGCCTTCGATACGACCACCTGGACCGATTAAAATTTGGAAGACGGTAGATGGATTTAAAATTATTGATGGCGAATCGAAACCCGTGAAGATCATTTTACAGGAAATACCAGAGGATAGATACGAGGATATTCTTGATTTTATGGCCACGTATTTCGTCATAGATGAGCCTTGCTGTGAAAGTCTCAGTGAGTAGTACAATTATTCGTACAATTTATTTATTTATCAATAGGCGTACATAGTAGATCGTCTTTATTATTCTCGTCTTCTTTTTGTTCTTATCGTCATTATTCTTATCTTTCTGTTATCGTGAAATCCATCGCAAATTTTTTATATATATTGATTTATTTGTTTACGATTAATCTGGAAAAAAATTTCTATATGACATCTCAAATGAGATAATAATTAGCAAAAATATCTCGATATGATATCTTTTTTTATATTTTAATATAAAAAAAATAAACGAATGTGATCACTTTTATAGATTTAAAGGAAGACCCAGTGGCTGTACAAGAATTACGAAATATATGGAAAATTATTTTAAACCAAGGATTGTCAGTCGGTGCTTTTCTCGTGGATCCAAAGGGAGGTAAACCCGAAATAGTAGGAGTAAACATAATAGGCTATGAAATTAAAGACGACAATAGAAAACTCGATAATTATAAGGTACCTAAATAACACATTGTACATTGGACATGTACTTGTAATTATACAATGTACTTGCGACCAAAAAAAGAAAAAAAAAAAAAAAGCGAGCAAAAATTTCAAGTACGATTACTTCTTTTTTTCCTAGCTTCAAGAATGTTTAGCTAAGGATTTAATTGATCCTGTAATGAAATTGTCCAAAGATGCAAAGATTTACGAGCATTATAACACGGGCAGATACATGTTTGCCTTTGGCTTGAGCGTTCATCCTTCTTATCGTGGCCATAAACTTGGTGCGCACATTTTAAGTGTAAGGTGAGGAAATTTTTGTATACTTTCTTATATCGGTGAATTAGTATTGAGTATTACAATGATAATATTTTTTCTATCACTTAGGGAACAAATTGGCCGAGAGTATAACATTGACGTGACGGCGACAATATTTAGTTCGACGATTTCTCAAAAGTCAGCTGCTCGTTGTGGATTCGAAGTTCTTTTAGCTAAAGATTACGATCAGATATTAAACGAGGAAGGAAAGGAAATCTTTCCTGGTATTAAATTTAAGACATTCAAAGTGATGGGAAGAAGACTGTATTGAAATATCGTCGTCTGTTTTTTCTCACTTCTTTGATATGTATCAAACTATTAAAAACCGTAAACGTCTAGATGTCAAGAGAAATCGATCGCTAAGCGTATGAAATGAAATCGAGGAGAGGGAAAAAAAAAAGAAGAAATGAAAGAGGGAAAAATAGAAGTAATTAAAATTGATTAGCGTAATGCTGCACGACGTGTTGCGAAATCAAATGCCTATCTTCGTGTTTTGCATCTGAAATTTTAATTATTTATAACAGCCCTTCTGCCAGACCGTTATTTATTGCCTCGCAGAACCCCGCAAATACGGGTGAACGTGTTTCCGTTCGAACGATCAGCTTTTGCATCCGAATGCACTTCGGTAAATTATTGCACGTTCGAATGTTAACGAAAAAATACGGGAGATCTTTTGAGTACTCCGATAAATAGTATTTAGTAATTTTCACCACTCGATTTCATTTTTCGAAGTTAAATTTTTTCAATAATTGAAAAACGTTTACGATATATATTATAGAAGGTAATCGAATAATAATATTATATAAACATAAATTGTTAAGTATTTCGTATAAAATGTTAATCAAATTAAGGATGTTTCATGCGAAAAGCTTATGTAGAAGTAATTTTTTTTCTACAACGTCATTGTGAATAAAAACTAGTTGTAACAATTTCAGGATACACTTTGATAGTTGCTAGAAGGAGGATCACTAGGATTCAGTCGTTCATTCTCCCTCCCCTTTTCGTTCCTCTTGCTTTCCCTCCATCGGCGTGCTCTTTCACTAGCGTGCGCGCGAATTCAGTCATCGTCGGCGATCTTTTCAAGCGACTACTCTCTCCGCTCTTCCTTCAGTTGCGTTCCGCGCTTCGTACGAGTTAGTGTATTTTTCGTCATTCTCTTATTCGTTCTCTCTCTCTCTCTCCCCCCTCCTCTCTTTCTTTATAACATAATATCAAACTATTTATATTTTTTACATTTATAGATCGGACGTATTCCCTCGTCGTTTCAACGATCAGTTTCGTTTCTTCGTCGATTTATTATTAAACGTTTCTATTTGCAAAAACGCAAAAATGGAATTTGGTGATTGATCGTTTTGGTATCTTATCTTCGACTAAAATAGTATTCTTTAGATACAAAGATATTAAAAAATAAATCCCCTGAGAGGAATGATGAGACTATCTGGAAAGAAAGAGACAGACAGAGAGAGAGAGAGAGAGAGAGAGAGAGAGACAATTTTCTAAAGTAAAAGAGATGTTATTAACGCGTCACTGATGATTTATTAAATAGAACCAGATCGTTTATTAGATAAAAACTTTTGATAGGAAGACGGAGAAGGAGTCACTTTGAACACCGTTTTGCTCTCTAAACGAGAAAACTATCTCTGCTCGCCTTTCAGCGTCTCACATGGAGGCTAGATTTCCGTTTTAATTCGATTTTCGGTCCTAAGTTACGTTTAAAGTGGTTAGAAATTTTCTGAGACAGATTAAAGAGAAAATGTCGATACGTATCTTTCCATCGATCCGTTTCCTTTTAATTCCAAGTCTAAATTAGAATCTTGATTTGAAACCTAGCTATCAAACCACTTCAAAGAAGATTATGTAAATGATTGTGAAAAAAACTATTGCATAATTTCGTGCGAGGACGACTCGTCTTTGTTGTTCTCTACTCCGTTATTATTTTTATTTCTTTTTCTATCCTCAAAAAAGAAAGAAAAGAAAAAAAAAAAAAAAAAAAAGAAAAAGAAGGTCGGACTTCCGAGATTGGATATTAATTGCACCGATTATCTCTGAAACGATTATCTACTTTAGCTCGCGTACGTAAATTATTACGATTCATTATATATTTTCAAAAATATGATTAGACGTAAAAGCGCATTCTATCTATTTATTTGTAAATTCATATTATACGATTTTGCTTTAAATTACCCCGTTATTAATTATTATAAATAATATTATAATATTATAAAATTCCAAAGATAAAGAAGAAAAAAAGAATCAAGATCAGCGCAAAAAGAATGAGCCAGGATTTAGTTATATTATACATCAATAAAGTCGGAACGTGTTAGATTAATGTTGAAAGTCCTTGCTAATCGAATCGAACGCGTATCGTAGATACGCTGATCAATACCTTCAAAGTACTATAACTCGATGCGAAAATCTCTATTTTCATAATCGATTTCTCCTTCGCTCGTTTCCATCATTTGTATTTACATAGACAAAGAGATAATTTTTGCTATTTGTTCGTATAATACTAATCGTGAAAGGAAAAAAAAACAAGAAATATTTATCAACTAGCGAGATACTCTGAAGAAAAAATAGAAAAGAAAATAAAAAAAAGAAAAAACATAAAAAAATAATAAAAAGCTAATCGTTGTACTCGAATATTCATCTGGAAAGAGTTTGGAAGGAATCGAACGATTCACATGGATGAAATCACATCCGGCATCCTGTCGATTCGTTTTTCTCTAGGGCGACTATAGATTTATCCCTCGTTTTTTTTTCACATCTCTCCTTCTTCCTCGTTCTCTTCCCCTTTCAACTTCGTGGCGTGGTACAATCGATTCACGAAAAAGTTTGAGAAAAACAGGTGCCGAGGATATTATCCGATAGATGAGCTAAGGGACTTGTGGTTTGAGAGCCGAAGATTAATGAGAGAAAATTGAGCCACCCTTCTCCAACATCTTCTCTCTCATTCTTTTTTTTTAATATCGTTTCTTGTTCCCTTCTTTGACTTCTTGCGAGTCTTAAATTTCGCGTCTCTTTCTCTTTCCCTTCCAATGGCACAATCGATTGCTATCGCGACAAAGAGATTGCATCCTTTTGGTCTCTCCTTTCGCATTAAATTCGAAACGTTGCTCGACGAACGCTACTAGTTTAATTAATCCTCCTTTCATATCGCAACCTGTTGATCTCCTTTTATATATATATATATATATATATATATCTTTTTTTTTATTTTTCTACCCTCGACATGCCACCTGGGAAACTTCTTCTACATTGCTACGAGTGACGTCGATCTCTTTTCTTGATATGTCACTTGAGACGCGTTTATATTTATAGTTATAACATTTCTACCTTCGAGAAAAAACTGAAAGGATAGAGGAGAATCCGTGTTTCATATCTATCAGATTTTCCTCGTTTCGAACTCGGAACTTTACGAAGGGAAATATCGAAAGGGAGAAAGAGAGATAAAGAAAGGAATATCGCAAACAAATGGATCGTGCAATTTCGTATATGTATGTGTATGATGTAGATTTCCGATCCAATAAACAATGTAGAAAATATATTTGAAAAGAGGTGTATAAATGTGCGCGTGCGTGTGTGTGTGGGTGGGCGTATGTATGTATCCGTGTATGTGTGTATATGGTTTGGTTTGTTCATCTCGTTTAAAAGATGCTTTACAAGAGAAGGATTTGTTGGCAAAAAGAGGAAAGCAAGGTGCCGCGAACTTTAGTATTTAAATCTCATGAAAATGAAGAGAAAAGAATAGTGATCGAGAAAGAAATCTCATGAAAATGCTGCGAGTTCTTTATTCAATGATAAATGTTAAGGAACGAAATCGTTGAAGGTTCATTATTGAGAAAGAGAACGAAATAAAGGAGGAGTTGAAGATCTCACAAAATGTCGTCCGACGTCGGTCAGAACAGAGAACAAAGAAGTAATCGAAATCAAAGCTATGACGTTGATGTAACTGTTGGGAAAAACGCAACCGATGGCATATTTCTAATACCAGAGTATTTCAACGTCACTTCTCTGGACATTAACGCGACCGAGGAAATTGACTCTTTCTATTTTTATGAGGTAAATTGCTAACTTTATTATTTATTTTATATAACTACAATAGTTTTGAGAAAGCTCTTTGCTAAATCTAATATGTACGAGAAAATCGTTTTGCATGTAACGATATCGTCAAAGGTTTATGGTAAATAAGGTTTGGGAAGAATTAATTAAATTCTATTAAAAAGAACTATGGTTAGCAAGTAAAATTATCCTTAGACATTCGAATGGCTATTGAACGACATCTCTGTAAGATAATCGATTGTTACGATACTCGAGATTTTACACAAATGATCCCTAACAAATTGTCGCTAACTCGTGTAAAAAGCTATTGATTAGATAATTACGAAAAAATAATAACTCGAAATTCGAAACTTCGTCCAGAAGATTTGGAAAATTTAAAGAAAATAATTTGTTTTATTGCGTGTTTGTGATCGCGAATATCTCGGACGTTGTATGGAATCGTAAGAGTATCGTAGACCGGTCAGTTGTTGAAAAAAAGCGTTAGAAATCACTAGTTCTGAGATTCCTTCGAGAGCGATAAATCTCGAATGAATTTCCACGTGCTTTGGATCGACCTCCTTGCAGTAATAATCGTTTGCGGTTGCTCGAGAAAAATCTCTCGGAATTTATTATTATGAAAGACTCGTTCGTTAAACATCTGCTTGCAAAATCTTGTAACTTTTTATTAGATCGGGATTAATAATATTTTTATTTATTTAATTATTTCAGCCAAGTTAAAACGCGGTCTATTATTATTAACAATAGTTTTCTCAGGGAATTACTAAATAAAATGTAAAAGATGTGCAAACGCTATCTTTGGCTTTGCAAGACGAGTCTCAAAGGAGTCTTAACGTAAATCTACTTACATTGTTACAAGCTTTGTTAAATCGATATCTCTTCTTCTATCCTACTGATCCTAAAGATGTTCTTTCCCGGAAATCATGTCGTTTTATCGTAAAAACTCTACTAAAGGTCTCTCCTACTTCCCTACGGAAAAGATTAGTTCGATCGTAGAAAATTCGTAGAAAATCGACTCGTTAAGGAAAATTAGATCCCTTCTGTCCATCTATAGCATCTACTTTTTCTCACTAGACGAATATCTATCTATTTATCCATTTCTCCTAGTCTCTATCTATAATTACTTTAGAGTTTACAAAAATCCGTTATTATTAAATCCGTTCTTTGACGATTGACGCGATAACATGCGAATGAGAATCTAATGAAATATTAATTTGTCAAGTTCCACGATCCTTCAAAGTTTAAATTAAATTATTATCGACCTACACGGTTGTTATCAAAGTTATAGCGACAAGGGATGCATAGTGTTGTTGATGAACTTCCGAACGTTGAAAAAGCAATACAAATTTTGCGACGTAGGGAAACATTCTTTCGTTTTTTTTTTCTTTTTTTTTCATTCAACTAAAGTTTTATATATATATATATTAGAAGACGTGTTTTCTCAGAAATTATTTTACAATGTTATTTGATTTATTTGTCTGTTCAAGTATGATTGACAATGCATAATGCGTAAGTATTTTAATGTTTAATTACAATCGGAAAGAAAACACTTTGAAAACGCAATGAATTATGCAGCCATCAGCCCGGTAGTACTTGCGTCACATGATTTACAATTAGATTTAGATGAATCGCAAGTAATACCGACCCAGATCTCACCACGTGGAGGTTGCCGCATCTGGAGATCCACGGGCTAAGTTAACATATTTAATTAGTCATGTTTAATGAACCTTCATTCAACCCGTTCGAAGCTGATTGAAGATGCATCAATCACAACTTTGCCCTAACCTACCCGCGAGAAAAAGCATGGACTTATTATTAAACACTTCTTTTAAAAAGAGCAAAAATACTATAAAATTATAAAATTAATTAATAGAATTTTTTCGTATAATTTGCACATCCCGGGAATGTACAAAGTATATGAATTTTCTAATCACTGCTATGTCAAATTTTCTTATTGTAAGACATATATATTTAAGGCAATTTTTGCTAGATTGAATTATTGTTAAATCTGAAGTTAAAGATTTAAAAATTAAATGGAATTGGATAAAGAGATAATTGAAAATATAAGAAAAGTATTAGGTTATTTCATAAATAAATGCCACTTTAATAAGGGCACTTAATTATAAATCAACCACATGTCCACGCTTTTTAAACTATCTTAATGTCTAAATAGCAGATAATCGACCGATCTGCTCTTTTCGCCTTAAATTACCTATAAAAATATCTTCACCTTAGAACTAAAACTCTTAATAGTACCATTAAGATAAACGTGCTAAAGCTTAAAGAGGAAAAGCTTAAAAATCCCAGCGTGCAGCATGCATCATGCCTTATAATTATATTCTTACAAACTAATATACAATAGAAACAAATATACAATAGAAACGTTGGCGAAATAAAAACTTATTAATATACTTTACCAATGTGCAAGATAATACATAAAAAAAAATGTAATATAATAGAAAATTGTTTCGAGTTAGTTATTTTATATTATTTTTTCAATCTACATAATCAATCTAATCATACCTGAAACATAAAAAATATAGAGTATATAGAACAAATCATAAAAACACAAATAACACGAATGCATCGATTATATGGATTTTAATTATGTGCCTGTATATATTACTGATATACAAATCAAACAACACAGCTATAACAACGATGGAGGTAGTGCATCTGAAACATATATTTTCAATAATTAAACATTTTATTAATAAACATTCCTGTAGCGATAAATGTTATTACGATGATAAGTATTAATGGGTATTGAATTTAATTAACTATAAGTTTAATAAACATATTTTATTGAATTTAAAAAACTTCAAAGCAACAAATTTTAAAACTTTGGTACATCTCAAAAATATAAAAAATTATATTCGTTGTAAAAAGCAACTCTTTAAATAAGTATATTTGATATATTTAATATTTATTGTGTTTGCCTTCAGAAATGCATGTATAGACACATGATACTTTAAAAAGCTGCCGTTTTAATTGGAAAAAAAAAAACACCAATTAGAAATGATACTAATGAATCCAACGACGATCACCTGGAACAAAAAGATATATATCAGCCATATAATATTATAATAACAATTACTCCAGTTATGATAATGACTACTGACGAGCATAATGACAACATGCAAAAAATATAATGACAAGACTATGCGTCACTTTCGAAGGATGAGCCTTCGAAAAAATGATTCATAGTTTATAGTTGCCCTCTTGAGCCACAATTTGTGGGGGCCTCTTCGGCATATAGCCTCTTCTTTGCTTCGTGCCCTAACCACTAATGTGAGACATTCCTTAAGTGCAGAGTTATTAAAAAAAAAAAAAAAAAAAAAAGTACACTCACTGGAATGCCCCAGCAATATTCGATCTAATCGATGAACCTATTACTAACACTTTGCATTTGAAGCATCAGAAAATAATATCGAACAAGAGCAGAAAATCTACCATACACAGTCTTAATCTTTGAATATTTAGTTCATTTTCCATTTATTATAGATATATAACAAATTAAATATTCTCTAGAAATCACGAAAGTGCAAAGTGTTAATATACTTAATACTAAGTATCCAACATGTTCAGAAACCTTTGTTAATTTGAAGAAAGAAATGTATTTTTAAACAAATGCAAAGGCTTTTAAACTGTTTGATACTGATAGATCTCGCGATACAGAGCATCAGCAAAATATGAAGAGAGAAAAAAGACATACTTTGGAAAAATTCCAAAATTTGCTGAAACTCCGCAAATATCCGGAGACGTTACTTTCCACTCCTGAGTGGAAATTAAATCCTGAGTCATCCGGTCCTACCTACTTAAAAATTAAACACACATTCATACCTAAGTATGCTACCTGCCTACCTATTTCTATATTTAAAAAATGGCAAAACATTCATTCCAACACACTCACTCCACGATTCTCTCACATACCGCCAGGGTGCAAATGCCTACACTAGAGAGTATACCCCGGGGTACCTCCGACACCCTAGCTCAACCACGTGTTTCTAGCTTAAGGTGGGTACGTACCAATTGCTGTAATCGACTGTCAAAGCTAATGATTATTGCGTAAATGACTAAAGAAAAAATTACTAGTATATACTAGTATATATATATATACGTATACTAGTAATATACGAGTATTTCCAAATTTCCATAAAATGTGCTAATTCTATTATGCAAAACGATGTCGATATCAATATATTAGATATATAGAATTTGTATTTATTTAAAGGTTAATACCGCGGAACGATGTACGATCCACCACCTAACACGCGCACACAGGTGCAAGGTACATCGTGCACAATCATTAACGCAATGACAGCCGCCAAATAGGGAGAACTTAAAGCTAAACCCATACTAACTGTTTCTCACCCATACGTGTAACACCTGGGTATGCATATAGATGAGAACGCAGAAAGCACAGGGGGGAGAAACGGGAATTAGTATATTAATTGCTGAAAATCCTATGCTAAAAATGATTAACTTATGAACTAGGCCTACGGGCTAATGACTCTATAAGTCTCTTTGTTTTTTTTTTTCTTTTTTTCTTTTAGCAATGACTCTACTCGACTTTTTTCTTTTAAAAGCAATGACTCTATTGAGACCTTTTATTTATCAATCAAATTGATTAAATATTTAATTAATTTTTAATGCAAATATAATCAAAAAACCTCGGGCGATCCTTTTCTACAAGCGACTATTCTAATTAATTAATAGTATCATATTTTGTCACTTATAGTCAAGGATCTACCCGTCGCGATTGTCTTCTTGTCTATTTTCTATATATTATATATCAACATACTGAAATAGCATTTATACATATACATATGCAAAGTATGTTAAACTTGGCATGCAAAAAAACCGAAGAAACACAATATACACATATTTTTTTGCTATTAATTATTAATATTACTAAGTTAGAACAAGAAGACCCTATCCTGAGCTAATATAAATAAGCATGCACAAGAAAAATACACACAATTAAAAATATATTATCGTGA